TCTTTTATTTGGGGATTTTCATGTTTTTTTTAACTGATTTTGAATTTTATTAATAAATAAATGCATTACTGCGTCTTTAAAAAAAAAAAAAAAAAAGATGATTCAAAATTAATGAATGTTAGCTCATTAGATTCGTCTAGTCGCGGGGAATCGAATGGTAGTTGTTTCATACAAATCGGTACGATATTGACCAAGATCGTACATCTTTTGTTTTGTTTTTTCTCAATATGAAAAATCATGTGATATGACGTAATTTCGACCATTTCGACTTTTCATTTCAACTTTTGGGTTTTCATTTCGACTTCATGTATAGTCAAGGCCACACTTTTTAAGAAGAATTTAAGTGATCCTTTCTTTTTGACTTCAGAACAGGATAACATTTTTTGAGATACACTCGAATATCAATTGGTACGTAACCTAGCAGTTTAAGAAAATTGGAAAAGAAATCCTCTCTGCAGTAATTTTGATTTTAATTGCTTCCATATAATCTTTCTTTTTCTCAACCTCCTTACCTGATCCCTATATAGTTCCCTCTTCGTCTGTATCCTTCTTCTTTCCTTTAATCTTGAAATTATTTTCAGATTTTTCTTTTATCTTTCTGCAGTATTTTCACTTTAGGATTTCTTCCTGTGTTTTGAACTTTCCTATCATTCGTTTCCATATCCATTCGAGTATGTTGAGATTAAAGATAGGAACTGTAATTAATATGTTGCAACTTTTAATGTTGCAACTTACGTTGCAATTAGTTTTAACCTATATACAGTATGTTGCAACTAATTTTAGCTTATGTTGCAACATTTTGTAAATTTGAAATCAATTGCTGTACCATCTTTAGTTGAGATGATATGCTCTTTCCATAATAAAATGCCTATCATAGTTAAACCCAACTAGGATGTTAGAGACAAATGCTCGCTAGCAGAGAGTGAAAGCTTTTAGCAGATTTACTTGATTTCTGCAAATAATTGTGATCCAGCATGGATCTGGTTCTATCTTAACATCAACAAGATATATTTGCTTTAGTGGTTTTGGATCATCTTTTCAATGAAGTGTCATACCAATCATAAAAACATTATGATACAAATCAAATACTTCAGCAAATTCGTCTGACTCTTATGATTGGGTCTCTATATCCTAAGTGAGAACAAGAGTACAATCTTGTAAAAGAGCTGAAATGGGGAATCGGTCATTTATTATTGTAAGAACTTTCAGCAGACAGAAATCTTTTATAGATACATAGAATTCATTCAGACAAAGCAGGCTGGTCCGCTTGTCTTTCTTGCATATATATTTGTTTATTGTGAACCATCCAGAAAGTTGGATTCTATTTTCTCGAGCTACCTTTTAGTGGAATGAGTATAAATCATCTGAAGCAATTTTGAAATTATTTTCTTGGATAGCTTAAATGGCTTTCTTTCTCTCTCTAGTACCATTCGTATAAATTTGTAAATATGACTTTTTTTTAGTATAATAATCCCAAAAAGGAAAAGCTTAAATGTGCTCTATTTTAAATGATTTCATAATGCCAGAGAGAATTTCACTTACCTTTTCTTCACATTCATCTGGAGTTTCTTTGTCTAGTACGAGAATGTCAAAGAAAACTTGAATGTCTATAAGAGTTACTAGTACCTTTTGACTATTAATAAGGTGACTATAAAAACGCAATATATAGTGGTATGTTCTATTTATCCTTTTTGTTGATTCTTCATTCTCAATTGCCATGAATGGAATATCTTGTTGTTTAGATAAAGCATCTTCGAGGATTGAAGATAACCCCTTATCATTTCTTGCAACTATATCATTCAGTGTTTAGATGTCTGACAAGTTTTTTCACCAGAATAGCAAATCAGTTGGCCTTCCATTTTATCTTTTTTAACCTCTAGGTGAAAAAGTAGGGTGGGCATCAAAGAACCCTGAAAGCTCAGATTGGATTATGATATTATGTCACAAATATACAGTTTGAGAGAAAGTATATATTTCAGGAGAAAAAAGTTTAAAATGGAAATTCTGAATTATCATGTGATACAAAACTCCTTAACAAAGTTAAGAGGTTTTCTGAAAATTCGAAATCATCACATGAGAGACTTTTGAAAGAAAAATGTTTAAAATAAAAATTAATTCCAAAATATATAAATCGATACATAAACCAACTAATAGTAAAAATTCACCTGTTACTAAACTTACTTTATAAAAGCTATCTTTGAAATTTTTTAATGCAATTACTAATAATTTTCTTAATTAAAACTTTAAAAAACTTTATTTTAATATATCATTGTAAAAATCAAAAATTTTTTTATATTTAATTTAATTCAATTTAATCAAATATTTGATTTGATTTAATTTGATTTAATTTGATTCGATTCAATCAAATTCAAATCAATTCAAATTGATTTGATCAAATATTTGAGTTTGATTTGATTTGATTTGATAAATTAAATAATAATAATCTGATTAGCCAATTATTTTATGTGATTTGAAAAACATCTCAGTGTTATGATAGTTCCTAAAGTGTGTTATAAAACTATTAGGAAGCTAGGATTATTCCTGTGATATGATATATATCATGTATCTCTGATTAATGAATTTGAAAATAATTTAACCATTATATTAGGATCTAATTTAACTGAGATATGACATCAGGAAAATCCCAGATAATACAAATTGATTTATATGCATATATGTAAATTAAGTAAGTATTAAGTTTTAATTATTCAAATTTATTCATTATTTAAATAATAACTTTTATAATAAAATCCTATTTATTAAATTGTTAAATTAATCTACTCTCTGGTAAAAAGTATCTAACTACCTAAAAATTGATAAAAATCAACATTTTAAATAATAATTTTACATTTATTTTAAAATTTGAGATGAAAAAAAACCATTTGAAAGTATTTTTTCATTTAATTAATAATGAAATTTGCATAAATATTTAATTTTTAAGGCAAACAAAATTTTGACTTTTTAATCATAGTAGTTGTGAAAATATAAATGCCAAAAAATCAACTCTTTGACTAAAGAATACTTATGTTTCAAAAATCAGAAATATTGGATCAGTTTTTTTTTTTAGACGCAGTAATATAATTTTATTAATAATAAATTTAAAAATCAAATAATACAAAGTAAAAAGACTAAAGTACTATCTATATAATTTAACATAAACAAAATTATTGTTTAGAGACATTAAAAAACCTATAAAAGACCAAGTCCTTCCAAACCAGCCGGTTGTCTTGTTAAGTTCAAAAACAAATGTATAAACATAAGTTTTATTATAACTGTCTGTTAAAAGAAAATGTTTGAAAATAAAGAACAATTGAAAACAACTAACTATTACCAATCCAAGAAGAGTGTCTAATCCCTGCCATGAATTATAGAAAGTCTGACTAAATCAATCCAATTTGTAAAAATAGGTTGGTTGGAAAA